TTAGCGTGCGACGGTAATGCGCGCTACCGCAAAGTAGCATTAATCTCGGCGCGCATCCCTCGTTGCAGCATCAGCGCTGCAGCAACTCTCTCTCTGCAATCCAACATTGCCGAGTCTCATTCGGACGCGACGGTAACCTTAATTCGCGTATTATCACATTCTCTCTTCTCGTCACGTAAAATATTAAGATGCGAAATATTTCAAACATCTTGCGACGTATCGTGAAATATGCAGAACGCGGAACTTACGCGAGAGAGAGGAGACGTTTCTTGAATATTTCTTGAAGAGACCTACGGCATACTTTTAAATTAAAATTTGAGAAAAGTGTATGACTCGGAGAAACAGAGACAAGAAAGACATTACTATATTAAATGATATATATATATTACAAGATTGATCTTGATTTTATGAAAAACAGACGCAGAGTTTTCTTTCCGCATTTTCGCGAGAAAGAAATGGTAATATGTTTTGATTTTCAACGAGACACTGAAAATGATCTATAAAACACACTCAAGGCTCAAAATACGAGCAACGTTTGTGTACGATGCAGTAACAGCATTTAAATCCGCGTAATCTAATCCACGCGTTTCCTGCGATTCGAGCATCGCGAACGTAATATTATTTCGATGACGCATTCAATGCATTCGATAAATGCGCCGATTCCCCTTTCTCTCTACTCCAAACTCTATTGACAAACTTTACCGTTTGTCTCTCTCTCCTCTCTCTCTCTCTCTCTCTCTCTCTCTCTCTCTCTCCCATTTGTCCTCGTTACACGGTTCTCTGTAACGTCGAGCACTTTCACGAGTCCATAGACACGTTAACTATTGCGGGAGCTCAACGAAGTTCGCGTCGCGCGCGGAATTCTCGCCGGTCGTTGCACCGAACCAGCCGCATTTCCGCGACGCAAATGCATCCCGCGCGTGCACATGCACCGGTAGCCCGGGAAGGATGCGTCACGGCGCATAACAGAGGGATGTAATGAGCGGGGAATGCAGTGGAGCATCGAGTTGGAAAAGACAATGCGAACAGACAGCGAAGTGACTGGAAGATACGGTCGAAACAGGCGGAAAACTGTTGGTGTGAAGTTGACATTTTCAGAAACTCGAAAGTTCTAATTGCACACACGCAATAATTCTACAGTTCCTGATAGGTAGACATCAATAGTTCCGGCTACTTGTTCAGGGAAATTCCAGATCAAAAACATAAGCTACTTTTGTCAAACCGCGCGAGACCATAGAAGAATCAAAAGACGATTGCGGTTAAAGTCGTGTCGATAGGTCGTCGAGCCGCGCTGGGTCGTTTGTACCGACGTTTATTGTGTCGTCACGATTTTCTGTTGTTGCGCGAATTAGACAGGAGAGTAGAGTTCGCGCTGTCAGGAGACGCGAGTGGAGGCGAGCTTCACGCAACACGAGAGAGAGACATCCGGGAAGAGTGTCACAAGCAGCATCACATCATGATTGTTGTTAGAATGGAGAGATGCAACGCCGCACCTAAAACAACATTCTTGAAAATGCACGGAGCGGCGTGACCTCACGTCACAAACACTACGGATCACCGTAGAATATTTGTGGTGATCGAGATCGCAATATTCAACAACAATTACAACTACAAAACGAATAAATTTTATTTAAAAAAAAAAACTACAATTAATAATCAGAAATTGCTTACAATTCACGATTTTGCGCTGCAATCGCAGTTTCTATAAATTTTACTCAAGATATTCGATTTAGGTAGTTCCGTGTGTCGTATATTCGAGTTCTATATTCCAGCGAGAAATGCAACATCAGTTAAACCGCGGGTGGCGTAAATGATTATTTATGGAAGCGGCCCGGGGCGAAACAAAGAGATTCGCCGAATTTCCGCGCGGCTTACGAAAGAAAGCAATTAACTGTGCGGCTAATCAAAACGAATGAGCCGCGGAAGAGCGGCGCTCTAAGCCGAAAGGACCGACAATAGAGCCGAAGGCCTCCGGGTTACCTACTTTTAATTGCGAGCACGTTTTACGCTCAGTGGAGCGCGCGTCGCGTCGGGCAAGCTATAAATTTCCCCGTCCCGTTCATCCCCCATTGCAACCACAAAACTAATTAGTCCGGCAGTAATTAATCTTTCGTCTTCGATTGAGCGACGTTACCTGTATGTCGGTCGCGTCCACTCTCGTGCGCATATTGAAATATGCTAGACTTAAAAAAATCTTTTCTCGGCGAACGAATATTCCCCACTAAGTATCTACAATTACTTAGAACTGTTTCTCCACACGAGAAATATCGTTACGTTATCGCTCTGATATCAACTGCGCGTTTTTTTTTATGAATCACCTGGGCGGTGAACAATATCATTTTATTATTGGGACTGTTGATATAAATGAACTGGAGCTTTTTGTATTATTTTCCGTATTATGTCAAAATATTGTTTTAAAGAGTTTATCAAGTAAATAAAATTTTTATCTAGTTTGTGATTCTATTTTTTTCCGAGTGACGTAACTGCAATAATGTGACTAACTTCCACCGGTTTATACATGACGAATTGCTGGCATTTTTTCCGAGGTTTTGACCCGTAATTAACCTGACTCCGTCCTCGAATTTTTCTTAAGTGCATTCCACGCACTTGTTTATCGTACTCTAATTGAGGCGACGCGATAAGAAACGACTATTGTCGTCCCACTTTCTAAAAGCCTTTAAGTGTCGCAATCGCGTGGCCGCCTATGTAACCTCTCATTCGGGACAAAAACCGCGCGCTTGCTAAATTCCAGCGAAATTTTTCGTTATCAGCGAGCTGTGACGCATTCGAAAAACATCGCTGTGTCCCGTTACAGTACGCTCGGAATTGTAAACAAAATCGACGTGTAATTTAATACATTGTTAGACTGATTCGTAAAATTTTTCGACATTCAATTATATTTCTACTTTCAAATATATTTTTACTTTCGAAGAATGTTTCTAATTTGCACACTCGCGCCTGTGTGAGATTCATCAATTTGTCGTTTCTAAATGTAAATCGTCAACTCTTGTAATGTAAATTCAAGCGTCCGTTAAGTTTTTATTAATTAAGAAACTAGCGCGCGAAAAATCTAGCGCGGAATGAAGATTGAAGAGAGAACCGAACTCTAGATATACTTTTACTCAAAAAGAAAGGAAGTCTCACACAGTGAAGAGCACAGTGCGCGCGCGATCCAATTAATCCACCTGATAATTATTTTCTACCTCTCGAGAGCGAAGTGCACCGTTTTCGTGAGAGAATACGAAGCAGCGACGGCGTGTGATCGTAATTATCTGCAGTTTATCTGCAGGAGCGGAACAAAGCCCGCGCGCGGGCTTCTTATCGCATCCTACCCCGGTCGCATCCAACGTGGACAATGCACTTCCGGTGTACATTTCGCGCCGAGGACTGTGAAGAAGGATCGGGAGAGGAGGGAGGGATCGCAAGTACGGGATCGGCTCGCGTTTCAACTCGTGTTGTTTTTGTGCCACCGCGATATCTCGTACCGTACGTGCAACGTCGCGAACTCGGTAGTGGACGATATAGATGCGGGTCGATTGTGAAAGGGAGAGTCGCGGGCGGTGCTCATGATATCTATATTATTTTTAGTTTCTTTCCGCAAACGTACGGACACAAGTATCGAATTTGCGTAAATCAATATTAATATATTGAGCCTGTAGCATTTATCTGTTATATTAGAACGTCCTCAACAGATGTCAGAGATTAATTAGCGGAAAGTTGCCGAATAAATCGTACTTTTAGATTCTTTAATTTTGTTTTTGTAATTATTGAATAAGCAACAGCGATCAATATACAAAGTAAATAAACAATTAGAAGTTCGTTCAAATTTTATCGAGAAAAACACTAGTAGGTAGTGTTTTTCTCTAATTGCTTGTACAAGCGTTAATGAGACTGGATTAGCGGCAACGTGATGTGTCAGCAGCGTTGAGTAACAGAGGAATGCGCTTATCAAATGCGAGAGAATCGTTAACGTGATCAGCAGACGGTCTTTTGTAGTTAGCATCAATGAAACGGGAAGGGATGTCAGCGTCACCCGCGCGCGCGCGCGCGCGTCACCGAGCGCGTAGTAGAATTTCTTCCTAGAAGTAACCGATATGATTTATAGGTATACAGCGATTAGTCATCCGGGCAACGATTCATTAAAAGCGCGCCGATCGAATTAAGGCCGAGCTTTTCTCGCGAGCATTAAATGGGTCGCTCTTGGCTGCTGTTAGTTGACTAGCTCTCTCAGGAACGGCTGTCAGTCTCTCTCTCTTTTTCTCTTACGTCATCGTGATATCGAGTCGACGACCTAGTTTTTCTCACTCCGGAGATCAGGAACGTAAAAAGGTCTTCCACCCTTGCAAACGTGAAATGTTCTCGTTCGTTTTTTACAACAATGTACGTTTACGCGCAATGACTTTTATCGATTGACAGACATCAGTATCTCATATGGATATTGCAACTCCGTGCATCACAATATTTATATACTGTGTAAATATTGTGTATCTATAAAAATTCCAATTCCAGAGCTAAAATTTATACAACACATTTTTACTTGCAAACTTTTTAGAAAAAAAAGAGAGATTAATATTTACATTTTTGGAATAGCTGTAACAATGCTCTTTCTTTTTTTTCTCTCTTTCTTTTATATATTCTCTTCTAATAAAAGGATCGCGGATAGAATGGCTTGCACAATTCAGTAGTATCAAAAATCGATGAATTTTTATGCACACTCGTAAAGAAGCAAAAATTCTCTCTTTTTCTCTCTCTCTCTCTCTCTCTCTCTCTCTCGCATAGCAAAGTAATGATCTCGCAATTTCCATTAAATGTATCTCAACGAGAAAAATAAATATCTATCCACTACATACCATTACATAAATAAAATAAATAAATAAAATAAAAATACAATTTTCTATATTTTATTTTATATATTTATCAATTTGCGACATCAGTAAAACGATGCGTTCTTTGTCTCATTGTTAGTTCTACATTTTCGATGTTCCCGTATTTTTTTCCAGGTAACAAAATGAACGGACCAGTTTATGCATCATCCTGTCCCGCATTGCAGTCGAACCTCTCGCTGCACAGCTCATCCTATTACAGCGAGTACAGCGGTAGCACTGTGCGAAGACGGCTATCGTCGACAGGCGAGGCAGATACCTCAGCTACATCAAGCTACGAGGGTAGCGACAGCTCCGAAAACAGCGATGAATCTCGACTTGATCCTGTCAGTCAGATGGAACGCGAGCAGCTCGAAACTTTCTTTCGAGGATTGAAATCACAAGTGACGTATTAAATTGCACACGTGTATATAATAAACACACATTGATTAAAACATAATATTTACAAATTAAGAGTATTATATAAAATTATAATTTGTGATAATTCTACATGAAATACATAAAATTATAACAGAGTTAAAAAATTTGATTTTTAATGCTGTCCAAAGGATACTAATTTATATACTTGATTTACAAAAACCGCAGGTGTACGTATGCGAATCACTGGCGAATTTGTACATCGGTAGCGCTTCTCAGACAGAGAGGTGGGAGCTTCGTTTCACCGGAATACCAGTGGTGGTTCTTGATCTTGGGGAAACACGATCAAGATCCAAGAGACGTATTCAAATCCTGTTAGCGGAACGCGGTACTTGCTTTACACTCTGGCGCGAAACTATCGACAACCTCTCATCGTACAAGGTATAAAATATTACAAATCACGAAAAAATAATACATATCTTTTTGTGGATGTATATTTTTATTAAACTTATTTTTATATTAAATGTATTTTATTAGATAATATTGTATTTTAAATAACTTTGTATAAAATTATTATAGAAAGAGAAGGATTTGTTTTAACAAATATTCTTAATTTCAATTTATTTTCAATGCGACGCGAAATTTGATACACACACCATTAATTATAAAAGCTTGCACAATCACGAACAACTCATTTACACGTTGGAGCATTTTGTTTCGTACTTCATTAGATAGATTACGGCGTGTATCATGATACAAAGCGGCTTGGATTTCAACATCGGACATTCAATACCGCTTCCGATTTCTCGGTTTGCGCACATGAGATAAGAGAAACAAAGTGCGCATAAATGTGACTTTTTATACATCACACATATTGTTTTTTTTCTCTAAATATTTTGTCGACTTCAAAAAAAGTATATTACTTGTTATCGAAAATCCATTTGACAACGCCATCCCTGCGATCATTCTGCGCGAAGATAAGAGTCCTCTCGAAATTTTCGCAGGTGTCCGGACCAGCCTTCCACACGATGTGTCTCTCGTCTGATCACACCCGCCTCGCCGGACTCAGCTTTGACAACTCGAAAGCTGCGAACGATCTCTGGCAGCATATCGAACGTCTCGTGTCCTGCCCGGAGAACATCAGTCTGTCAATGCCGGGCAAGAAGAAGAAGAAGCAGACGCCGAAGAAGGTGGTGCTGCCGACCAAGAGCAACATCAGCCAGCCGTGCCAGTTCCAGCACGTGACCAGCGTGGACGCGGCCGACCGGTCACGATACTTCTCGCTGCAGACGTTGGTTCCAGCGCTGAGCGAGCTCGAGAACTCCCTGGAGGCGAATTTCTGAGACAAGCCCGAGGCCTCCGGCAAGCCCTCGTAGAAACGACGCAGCGCGACGCCCGACTCCCATCTTCTTCTCCGGAAATAAATTTGGTCGAGGAAGGAGAAAACGGTAGTAACGAGATCTCGCGAAGACTCGTACACGGGCGCGCGCTCGCAAAAGCTGTTCCGAGAGCTGCCAACGAGAGGCGAATATTCGAAAAATAACACCGCAAGATTTGATCGGAAGTCTTTTTATCTTCTTGCTCCTCCTCTTCGAAGTGGCTACTTCGTGAACGCGATTAAATTTTGCGACACGGGGAGGAGATATATCGACAAAAGCTTTAACGACGACGACAAAAATAAGAATAGGATAATAAAGGAGTCTTGCGCGGTTCTCGTAGATTTTATTCATCATCTTCATCCTCTATTCCGATGTAATATCATTCTCAACTAGCAGAGAGTATAAGAGTTAATGAATTGAAGTAAGATACTTGGATTTTCTCTTCAAAACGCGCGCAAGATTTCGACTCCGCGTTAGTTCCGTGTTCTTCTCGTGTATCGATCGAGGAGCAAAGATTTCGAGAGACGAAACGAAGAACCTCGAAGAGAAAAAGAGGACGACAAAGAGAATATAAAAAAAACAGCTCGGACAATCTCGCAAAAGAACGGAATAGCTCGTTGACTCGCCCGGAACAGTCCAATCGGTCGATGTCGCGCAAATCTACAACATCGTATCGCGAACGTCAATACGAAACTATTCATCAATGCGAGCGCGATTGATGTTTGCAAAATCTCCCGACTGCAGCCTCCAGGCGAAACAGAAAGTTCGCCCCGGAGCGACAACTTCTTCGAGAGTCACGTCTGTTCCGATTCTTTTTCTCTTTCGAAGGGATTCTTCGTAAACTATCAGCGCTGTAAGATTTATTATTAGACGTAAAAACATAAATGTTTTATCAAACGTTAGACCGATAAAAATGCAATATATACATATATATATATATCATAACGATGATATCATTCTTATCTGAAAAAAGATTTTCAATAAATCGTTTCGTTCCTGACAGTTTCATTACGCAAACGTTTAGTTTTCAGCTTTCTGTGCGGACAATGAGTTGATCAAAATAAACATTGAAAAAATAAAATTTTGATTACACAGTAGTTTTAAAATTGTAGGCTTAAAACAAACACTTTCAGAAAAAATAGATGTCTAATTTGTTTATTTTATATGTGTATACAATAATGTTTTACTTGCATTTGTTTGCAAGCAATTCTAACGATTCAAGCAGAACGATTGATTGAACGATCTTCCTTTGCAATTCGAATTGGGTGACTTAATGCGAGGGAACAAACAAGCGCTCTCGCAATTGAATGTCAAAGACGCGAAACCTTGAATCACACGAAGAACAAATGTGAAACCGGCGATTAGAAAACGTCATGCAAATATATGCGGAATTCACTTCCATCGCATTCTCATTGCGCGCACATTGTTGTTACTCGCCGTAAAAAAAAAAAAAGAAGGAAGCTTTCTCTCGTGGCAGGTAGAGGAAATGTTGTTCCGCCGTGTTCGTAATTAAAGGCATGCGGTGAAAATGAGACATCAAAGAAACTTTCGAAGCTCACTACGCAGTGTGAATAATTGCGACAAAAACCCGTCGTTACGAACTAAGTTTAAATCCTGGCACTGCATTCAGCGTAAAATGCCCAATAAACTTCAGAGGAAAATACTTGAAGACGAAGTGGCAATTATCCTTAATTGGAGAAAAAAAGTCATTTTGCTACTGTCGTGCTTGAAAAAACAAAAAACCTCGTCGCTGAGTCAGTGTATCTTCGAAGAAAGGAGACATAATAACGTAATTTCATAAGTTACATCTCTCCGAAGATTAAAATATTTCAAAATATTATAAACGTAGAAAAGAAAATAATAAAGAGTTATAGATGTGTCATTATATATAAAATTTGGAATAATTATGAAAAATCCAGTGTTCATGAAGTAGAATGTTAACGTTAAAAGTACTTAACGTCTCTATTTCGGAATCGTAAAAACGTATGTAAGATCGATAAACCGTAACGTAAGAGCATCCATAAATAAAAAAATTTTTTTAAATAAAAAAAAACGAAATACTGCCGAACGTACGTGCAAAATAAATTGCGACATTTTATGAGCGTATATAGCGTACTGAAAATGACCATTGTGCCAAAATACACGCAGCATAAGAAAAAAACAAGCTGATTTCAATAATGAGGACGAAACGTTTTCGAAAAATCGAACATTTTTTTAGTAGTTCCATACGATGTAAGACGTGGAAAAATGTTTTTTTATTATGACAAGCAGCATTTTCTTTTTTTCTAGCATACTCGTAACGTTCACGTATCACAATGTTTATCAACAAATTAGTAATTAAGTAGAAATTAGTCGGATATTGACGTGCATGATGTGTCCATGTATAGCGAATTCTACTTGTCCTACCGTCGTTTCGGGTTGTTCGTGTCTGTAGAATTCGGTAGCAAAATCTCGATCTTGTTGTCGACGTCGTTCGATTAAATGTTGAAATGTGAAGATTTACTGTCGTTAATTACGTTCAAGTAAAATAACATCGAAGAGTTGAACTCTTTCTCTCTCTCTCTCTCTCTCTCTTTCCGGAATTTATTCATGTTCTAAGTATCAAATTTTTTATATTGTTATGTTTATAAACTACTACTACTTGAAAAAAAAAGAAAATTAATGATTTTAAATTTACATAAATTAATTTATTATTATTAATTAAATTTATGTATACACACAGTTTCTGCGAATATTACACATGTTACATTTATTAGCTTCTGCAGGTTTTGTGAATGGAGGTTTGCATCTTGTACTCGAAATTGAAGTCTTGTTCGCTCTTTCTTATCTGTCACTTTACTTGAACGTGCATGGTCTATGTTGAAACGAAGACGAATAGTCTTCTATTTAAAAAACGGACTCACTCCTCTTGAGAGAGGATCGCGCGCGAAATCGTCGTTACACATGACGTTCGCAAAAAGACTGGTTTCGTCATTCCGCGTATATAGACACAGGTAAACACTAGATACCTACTATGAGTAGCAATAGCGGTCATATTAGAACGACCTGACCCTTTTATCATTAAAAATTCGTCTGCGCGACTCGTTCAATGTTTCCCTCAACATTGTCATTATTCGTACATGCTTCGAAACTTGCGTCTCGTTGAGTGACGAAACGTATGCGTGTTTCGCTTTATATCTATTGCGAATCAAATCTCTAGCGGATAAGATGAATTAGCGGTATCGGTATCTCTAAGTTAGGCACGTCCGGACGAATTTTTTATCGCGCTGTTCGAAACGAATACGTATAAGACTTCAGAATTTGTAAACAGTTGCAAGATTTATACAAACACTTTTGTAACACGTGAGGTTAATTTTTAGGGAAATAAATTCCGGGCGTTTATTCTATATAGACACACTTAAATAGCTAACGTGTATAATTTAGAAAATTACTGTTAATTCTTACATACACAATTAATTCCAGAATTAATTAATTTCATTATCTACGACTGTGATATAAATATATGTATTTGTATCGTTACGTTTCGTAACATATATCCTGCATTATAATCAATCACTTGGAGATACAAGTTTATTGAATATATCGTATGTAATAATGATTGTATTAAAATAAAAACAATATAGCAACTAATAAAATGAGAATGAACATCTTCTTTATTTTCCGTCTTTTGGAACTTAAAGAAATAATAGAATTTAGTCAGATTTTTCTATTAATAATATTTGTGATTTAAAATATTTTTAGAATTTTTAACATTATTGTTTATATTGTTGGGTCTGATTGGGGCTTGATTTAAAACAAATAATTACTCAGAGAATTCTTACAAACACGTGCTTTTTATTTACAAATCTACGAAGATCTGAAAAGATCAACTTTTCTGTCAAAGTTGCTTTTCTTGCTCCATCAAACTGTTTTTCTTGAATCTCGATGTGGACAAAATACATTTCGCGACGTTATTTTGAACTTTTAGCTTACCATTTTGACTTTTACAATATCTGCCGAGATAACGCATAGCAAAATCTTCTAGTGCGTTTTCTTTCATTTTGTCGGCAGGTAATATCGTAGTTTGATATCATTTGCCAGGGATACAAATTGTTAAAGAAGATACACTAACGAGTGAAGAAACCAGCTTTACCGAGTGAAGTTACCGTTTGTAAATTTTATATTTTGTGTACAAATTATTTAAAAAAAGTTTTTTCTGAGTTTTTTATGTCTAATAATTACAAGTAGTTTATTTTATTGTAGTTTACACAAAATATTATCTTCAAATATCTGTAATCATAAATCTGCCTTACTCAAGTTTGTTAAAAAGTACGACAGATTTTTACTAGTAATTTGTTCAATCCAACATTGTAACTTGTAAATTTCTAAATATTGCTTTCAAATTGGATAAAAACGGAGAGATCGATACACTTTTGAAATTAAGCTTTAACAATTATAATTTACACCGACATTATTCGTTGTATGAAGGCTAAAATGTACTTGAGCTCGCGCGCAAGGTCAATAAATCAACGAATACATGTATTAACGATATTTTCTCTCCGTATCGATCTGCGGCAAATAAATCATATTGCACGGCAAATATATTATCGTACGTGTACCGTGTGTATCGGTCTGCGCCGTTGAAATCGGCGACGCGTATCTCGCCGCGGGATCTCGCGCTTTGACGCGCTCGTACACTTTGTACTCGTCATATGTATATACGTAGCAGGGAGGCCTGCCTATGTATCTGGGTGCTCCAGATAGATGGTTCCGATATGAGGATCGGCCGGTTGTCGAGCCGGGTCCCGAATCGAGTAATGAGAGACCCGGTGCCGCCTCCTATGTATCTCCTCCTTCCTTCTCGTTTATGAGAATCATCGGATTTCCTTCAGGGCGATCGCGCGATCGCGTGGGCGGATCTCGAATGGTGCGGGGAGACGATTATATATTTATTCTCGGGTGTGTTAGACACATCCGGACAAGAATCGTTAGCCTGTTTAAAGAGCCTTTAAGCAAACGCAAAGTGTTTGATAGGTAGCTAATTAACGAGGAATTTGTAAAAAAAAAAAAAAAAAGAAAGTAAAACGAGAGCGTATCTCTCTTGAAAAAATAAATCATTTGTCACTTGAAAATCGTGTCTACACAACAAATTGAATTCTTCGACGAGAGTCTGTCATGAAAAATGTAAAAGAAATGTTATGATTTACATATATGTATATGTATATAAGTGTGTGTGTGTGTGTGTGCGTGTGTGTGTTCGTGCACGCGTATACATTGAAGCACTCAGACACACAACATATTTTCCGATCAATGCGAAATATTTTATTTTGTTAAATGTGTAGCGAAAGAACATATCAAAATGCAACACGCAAAATAACATCAATAATTTATAGTTACGGACGGACGAATTATAACAGACATTAAAACAGTAGAGTTTTCAACACATTGAACCACTCTCTCAATGTTCTGACAATTTAATTCGCACCTATGTTAAAATTTTGACGTAAAAGCTAAAAGTAGAATTGTATTTTTTCAACACATTTTTAAAGAAACAAAGTGTCATTTTTTTTATAACGAGTATTTTCCATGCACGTGTACGATATATACGCACGAAATTGTGTGTTAGAGCAAGTCAAAGGAATATTATGTATTCCTAGCGACGTACACGCGCGTATACGTGAATCACGTGTTATTTTATGAAAAATCATAATCTTCTTTCTTGCGAATATCATTCCGGTGGAGTAGCGCTTTGTACATGTCAAAATTAGTATGCAGCTCGGTGTTGGATAGCCCGCAGCTACGATTACTCGAGCAGACAGATACTTCGGCATCTTCGTGAAGTTAATCGCTCAATGTTTCCGTCTTCTTACATCAACAACAAGTCGACGCAAAAGAATGTATATAACTTACAGAAATATTAAAGCAACAACAACAACAACTACTACAAACTAATCAAAATAAATTAAAAAACTTTACAAATAATTAAGCGTTAATTCTCTGGCTGAATTTCAAGTTAAGTTGTATATTAAAATAGACGATGGAAGATTTAGTGTGTCATCAATTTCGCTTTATTTTCGAGAATATATATATATATATATATAGAATGCTACGTCAAAGCGCGAACGCGCTGAATATGCATAGACCGCATTTACATGATGTTTACGTTAATCGCGCTCTGTGCAACACAATATTCTTAATGCAAGCTCAATTAATTTCAAATGGGATACGCTTTTACAAACGTGAACGTAATTTGCCGGGATAAGCAACTAATGATTGTGTGAATGTGGCTAAATAATTCCTTTAACGTCTTTCCTCGGCTGCCTGACTTTTATTTGAAAATAAACAATGGATGTTGTCACATTTTCCATTTTACAGAATAGAATATAAGTAATTTTGTTTTATAACAAAATATTTTTGTAAATCGGAGATCGCAATTAAAATTTATCAACAGTATCTATTTATGTATTATTTTTCTGCTTTTGAGAATATAAATCGACTGTGAAAAAAAAAAGGTTGTTCATCGTCGCGTACTCGTAATCGCTGCAGAAACTATTAATGACTATTACGCGAGGCGCGAGTCGATTTTCACGCTAAATTGACACTCGTTTTACGAGAGGCTGGAGGAAAAAGGATCATAGACGGCTCGTTTGCGCGAGCACAATTTGCAATTCTAAAACCCTACACGCCTCGTCACCTCGTCGGGGGTTTCCGGTGGCGGTTTATTGGCACGAGATGAGTTTCGGCCGGCTCGATCGCGTGTGCGGTGTGTGATCGATTAGCATCTCGCAGTTCGCCAACGTGCATACAAGCACCTCGGTTAATTATTCGTCGATCAGAAGCGATTGTATACAACAGCCGGGTGTTGGTTTTTTCGCGTCCGGAATTCGCGAACGGACACTTTCGTCGGTGTTGTTTTTTCGAGTCATCGTCGAGACGTCATGCGATAGATTCTTCTTTCACGCGCGTCGAAAAACCTACATAGCGCAACCGATCGTGTGAAATCGTATTAACATTCTTATCACATGTGCGACCACGACTGGGCCGAAACTTTTATTGCCGATGTT